CAGAATGCAACCCACACCAATCGACTAACAACCAGGTACCAATTTTACTGATGGTGAACATGGACAACAGGTGTCTTAAGGAAACACATCGTAATGTTTTCCAGCTGTGCCAGGGGATCGATCCCTGGACCTCGGTGTGTGAGCCGAGTGTGCTAGCGATCGAGCTAGGTATACAGCAGGTTTTCCTGAGAAAATCATCAGAGATCATTGATGTCATTAAATGCACTGCATGCCAGTGGCTTTCATACTTAACAATATTATATTACATGTAAACATTTTGTATACAGAGGGGTCCCGCTTTTCAGCCCTTTGTTTTACAGCATTATGCTAATACAGCAGTTTACAATTACAGTATAGTGGACCCCCGGTTAACGATATTTTTTCACTCCAGAAGTATGTTCAGGTGCCAGTACTGACCGAATTTATTCCCATAAGGAATATTGTGAAGTAGATTAGTCCATTTCAGACCCCCAAACATACACGTACAAAAGCACTTACATAAATACACTTACATAATTGGTCGCGTTCGGAGGTGATTGTTATGCGGGGGTCCACTGTATACCCATTCTTCATTTCTTCAGACTTCCTTCAGTAAATATATTCACAAATCACTATAACCTAAGAATGATTATTATAATCAAAGAAAGCGCTAAACCGACACGGGTTATGCAGAACCTAAGGATGAAAATATTTTAAGGTAAGTAATGTTTTTTTTTTTTTTTACACAGGGTTTAAAAAAAAAAAAAATATATATTACTTACCTTAAAATATTTTCATCCTTAGGTTCTGCATAACCCGTGTCGGTTTAGCGTATACCGTATATGCATTTACTTTAGGCAGCTCTATTGCTCATTTAATATATAATAGTGTAAACATGTTATCAGGCTTTTATATGCATTTGAAAGTGAAAAAAGCTATGATTCACTTCACAGCAATTTTTACTGTACAGCAGTAGCCTGAAACCTAACCTGCTGTATAAGTGGGGCCCTCCTGTACAGAAGTAGCCTAGAACCTTACCTGCTGTATAAGCGGGGCCCTCCTGTACAGAAGTAGCCTAGAACCTTACCTGCTGTATAAGCGGGGCCCTCCTGTACAGAAGTAGCCTAGAACCTTACCTGCTGTATAAGCGGGCCCTCCTGTACAGAAGTAGCCTAGAACCTTACCTGCTGTATAAGCGGGGCCCTCCTGTACAGCAGTAGCCTAGAACCTTACCTGCTGTATAAGCGGGGCCCTCCTGTACAGCAGTAGCCTAGAACCTTACCTGCTGTATAAGCGGGGCCCTCCTGTACAGCAGTAGCCTAGAACCTTACCTGCTGTATAAGCGGGGCCCTCCTGTACAGCAGTAGCCTAGAACCTTACCTGCTGTATAAGCGGGGCCCTCCTGTACAGCAGTAGCCTAGAACCTTACCTGCTGTATAAGCGGGGCCCTCCTGTACAGAAGTAGCCTAGAACCTTACCTGCTGTATAAGCAGGGCCCTCCTGTACAGCAGTAGCCTAGAACCTTACCTGCTGTACAAGTGGGGCCCTCCTGTACAGTAGCCCAGAACCTTACCTGCTGTATAAGCGGGGCCCTCCTGTACAGCAGAAAGTAGTAGTCGCTTGTCTTGTTTGACTGACTAGGCTCGGCCAGTGTTTTCACATAGCTACATGCAATTCTCAAGGTTACATGCATCGACAATGTTACTGGTAGTTGCCTGACTCTTACAGTGCATTACAGGCTGTCAAGAAATTCAACTCCCCTAAACCCATCAACTTTCACATTCAACTTTGGTTATGTCGCATTTCTATTAAACATAAAGAATTCACTATTTCCTGGGTTCCTGGACACATTGATTTTGGGGTAACAAACAAATATACTCAGTCGTTCCAAATTTTCCACATGTGTATTCTTTACTGAGGTTATCGTTCAAAGGTTTATTTCCACATAATACAATGTTTGTGCAGAGATGGGTGACATTTGGTTGTGTGTAGGGAAAGCCAATGGTTATGCAGAGCATTTCAGCGATCTCTTGACAACTCTACAACTGGTGGCCACAAAAAAAATTCTGTCAAACCACATTTGGTTTCTGGATATGAATGAAGTGTATAAATGGAAGACAGGAATAAGTAAAGGGGATGTAAATAGCGTGCTAAAAATATCTAGCCTAGACAGGACTCGCAGCAATGGCTTTAAGCTGGAAAAATTCAGATTCAGAAGAATATAGGGAAGTTTTAAAAATAGGTTAGATAAATACATGAATGGGTGTGGGTGGGTGTGAGCTGGACCTGACTAGCTTGTGCTACTAGGTCAAATGCCGTGCTCCTTCCATAGGTGAATGTGACCTGACCTGACTAGGTTGGAGACTTGGACCTGCCTTGCATGGGCCAGTAGGCCTGCTGCAGAGTTCCTTGTTTCTTATGTTCTTATGTTCTTAAGACTGCTGTCATCCATCTACGTATCAGCCACATGCTCCTCACTCGTGGAAAAATGCCTGGCACTGATCTGTAAGGCCTGTCAGGTTGCACTGTGAGTTCAATGTATTTTATTAGCAGGCCAACTGTGGCTTGGTTGGAAATGATCTCACATCATACAATGAATGCCCATGGTTCAGTCCTGGGCATGGGTGGAGACAGTGTCACTGTTCACCTTAACTAACACCATCTGGGTGTTAGTTAACTGTTGTGGGTGGCATCCTAGGGACAATTAACCTAAGTTGCATGAAATGCTCTGCATAACCAGTGACTTTCTGTATAGTATGTCACTGATATCAGCTATGGTCTGTATAAGTTGTATCATGTACTTGTAGAAATAAAAATTATTATTAAATGACAGACCTACAGAACCATTCTAATTGTCTTATTATTATGATCAAGGAGGGGCACTAAACCCATAGGATTATGCAGCACCTGTGGGGATAGGGGGTGTTCATGGCATCAAGAGGCCAGTGAACACACTATACAGCCTATGTTAGTATGTTAGCTACACTATTCCCTCACCTCAAGGCAGGTTCCTTGACTCTAGTGAGCAGCTCTTGATCTAAGACATTGGACCTGTGCTCTATTTCCTTAAATGTCTTCCATTCCTCTAGGCACTGTCATACAGCATAATAATATTACACTAGTCTCTGCTGAAAGACGGAATAGCCAAAAACCTAAAAGGGAATCCCAGTGTATTATTCTGCGCATGGGTTTAGTACGTATTTCAAAAACAAATCTTGCTTTTCTTTGGACTTTGGGATTCAGCCAAGAAACTCAGGTTGGAAGCCTGTAAAATCTTAAAAATACCTTTTAATAATACAGTGGACCCCCGGTTTGCGATGGCATCGGTATCCGATAAATCCAGTACAGTGGAACCTCAAAAATCGAACTGCTCCCAACTCGACCAATTATGTAAGTGTATTTTTGTAAGTGCTTTTATAAGTGTATTTTTGAGGGTCTTAAATGGTCTAATCTAATTTACATTATTCCTGATAGGAATAAATTTGTTGGGTAGTGGCACTCGAACAGCCTTCTGGACCAAAGAAAGTTTGATATTTGAGGTTCCACTGTATTTGATACATTTTAATGCAAAAATTTTGCCTTGGTTCCCGTTAAAAAACCCAGTATACGCGATTCATCTGAGACGTGTCCACGTATGGCCGTGCGTGCCAGTGTTTACAAGCCAGCCAGTGTGCTCGCATCTAAGGATACATTCGGTACATTCCATATTATCACAGTGTTTTGGTGCTTGTTTCTGCAAAATAAGTCACCATGGATCCCAAGAAAGCTTCTAGTGCCAACCCTGTGGTAAAAAGGGTGAGAATTAGTATGGGAATTAAGAAAGATTTTGAAGGGTTTGGGGTTAACCCTGAGAAGCCTATGCCAGTTGTGGAATCCATTGTGCCTACTTCAAAAATTAAGGAAATGTGTGCAAAGTGGGTTGAACTGCAAACCTTTATGGATGAAAATCACCCTAACACAGCTATTGCAAGCTGTGCTGATGACTATTACAATGACAATGTTGTGGCCCATTTTAGACAAATCGTAAAGGAACGGGAGGTACAGAACTCTAAGGACAGATTTGTTGTGTGACAGAGGTCCAGTGACTCTCAAGCTGGTCCTAGTGGCATTAAAAGGAGGAGGAAAGTAACCCCAGAAAAGGACTTGCTACCTCAAGTCCTAATGGAAGGGGATTCCCCTTCTAAACAATAAGTTCGACACTCTCCCCTCCTCCCATCCCATCAATCATCACCAGATCTTCATTAAAGATAAGTATTCTATTGTTAGTGGAGTACTACAAACTGTGCATGTCTTCTTCAGTTTGTGTGCATTAAACTTAATATTTCATGCGGTAAAATTTTTTTTTTCATTCTTTTGGGTGTCTTGCACGGATTAATTTGATTTCCATTATTTCTTATGGGGAAAATTGATTCGTTTTTCGATAATTTTGGTTTACGATGAGCTCTCAGGAACGGATTAATATCGCAAACCGGGGGTCCACTGAAATGACGTTTTGTTCAGAGAAGTCATTCTTAATAAAGGCTTGAAATATCTTCCCTTATTTATCAACTAACTGCTTACATTACACATCTGGAGTGACAACATTACACACCTGGAGTGACAACACAGGTGGTGAAAGACATAGCAGGTAGATTCATGCCACTGTCTTTCCACATCCAATTATATTTTATTAACATCTTTCATGTCCATGGGGAAGTGGAACAGAATTCTTCCTCCGTAAGTCATGTATGTCATAAGAGGCAACTAAAATGCCAGGAGCAAGGGGCTAGTAACCCCTTCTCCTCTATAAATTGTTAAATGTATAAAGAAAAACTTTTGTTATTCTTCTTAGGTCACCCTGCCTTGGTGGGTCACCCTGCCTCGGTGGGTCACCCTGCCTTGGTGGGAGATGGCCGGCTCGTTCAAAAAAAAAAAAAAAATCTTAAGTTCTCAGATCTTAGACTACAGACATGCTTTACACTGTTATATGCTGCCAAATCATAAAAACTGAGATCCTATTTATATGAAGGGAAAATAACTGCAAGTTGTACATTTTTTATTTATATAAAAGCATAGAAGAATATATATACTGATGGACTAGGTGAATATTGTACAGTAAACATTTTCAATGCTAATAACTAAAAATGCCATGTTGGGCCATAAAAGTAATGAGAATCATTGAGCCCTCAATAAGTACCATATTTTCCGGTATATAAGGGACACGACAGAAGTATCATAATGGTAAATCAGTAATATCAAGGGCTAATTACCCTCTTACTTTACGCTAAAGCGTAACCCAAAACCTGCCCTTGACTCTGACCTTGAGCATACAAGGTGTAGGCTGATTTTTCAAGACTTTTTGTGGAGAAAAAAAAGACACACCTTATATGATGGAAAATACAAAATATACGTATGCTTGTATCCTAGCTCATCAATTGATTTAGGAGTAAAGGAAACAGGAAAGAGGGTTGAACAAGCGACAGGCAGCATATGCTCAGAGGTCTCTCTTAACCCATAAACTGTCTTAATGTAGATCTACGTTCAGCTACGTAGAGCTCCGAATGTAGAGCTATGTTTTTTTTTTTACATGCTTTCAAATGGAGAAAATAAAGGTCAGAGCGCTACACATGAACATAGATCTACGTTTGGACAGTTTAAGGGCTAATATTGTAATGATGACTCTTACTATATCATAGAGAATACTTACCTTCTTTATTAATACCATTTACAAAAAAAAATGTATGAAACAGAGAATGTTTACTTTTTAGAAATTAATGATCTGGTAATAATTGTAACATTTATGAAGGGATTCAGGGAAACTAGCAAGCCAGACTCGAGTCCCGGAGGTGGGAAGTACAGTGCTGGCACTCTGAAGGAGGGGCATTGATATTTGCAGTTTAGAACTGAAGTACCAGTACACCTCTGGCAAGACTGATGGAGTGAGTGATGGTGAAAGTACTTCTTCTTATTTAGGTCACCTTACCTGTGTTGAAAAAAAATATACAGGTGTTCTTCAACTTACAAAGGGGTTACGCTCCAATGAACCCATTGGAAGTTTAATATGAATACAGTGGACCCCCGGTTAATGATATTTTTTCACTCCAGAAGTATGTTCAGGTGCCAGTACTGACCGAATTTGTTCCCATAAGGAATATTGTGAAGTAGATTAGTCCATTTCAGATCCCCAAACATACACTTACAAACGCACTTACATAAATACGCTTACATAATTGGTCGCATTCGGAGGTGATCGTTATGCGGGGGTCCACTGTATATGCTAAGTAATCAACTAAATAACTACTGTCAATGAATAAGTAATTAAATAATTACTGCAACTAAATACCAGTTTTGAAAAGTAAATACATGTAAATGAATACAAGTTAGGGACTTGCCGCCTTCATACTGGGAAATTATCTTAAGTTCCGTCTCCAAAGTTATTGCTTTCGCACCATCGTAAAGTTGAAATACCCTAAGTTAAACCATTGTAAGTTGAGGAGCACCTGTATCTTCTCTCATCTGCTTGTTAATATCCACCATGACTTGTTCAAAGGTTCACAGTTACTGAGACCAACTTGAGGATTACCATATATCCGAGTACCCTTTGCAGAGTAAAATAAATATTTTGCAATTCCTGAGAGGCATTGTAGAGCTAAGAGTCAGATGTGGAATGATGTAGAAGTTGGGACCCACTCATGACCTGGTTCATACATGGGCCAAACTACAGGCCGATGGAAAATCTCAGCCCCACTTGGAGACTGCGAGGAATTTGATGCGTTGTTTGATGACTTGTGGTGCCTGGAGCAGGGATTTTGCAGGGAAAACTGTGTTATCCACTATAAAGAAAAGGGTTTATACATTAGTATATTGTGGTACCTTTAGCGGGGATTTTGCAGGTAAACACTGCAAATATCTGCTATAAAGAAAAGGGTTTATATATACATCAGATTATAAATCGAGTAAATTTTTTAACACAACGGTCGTCTCCCACCAAGGCACGGCAACCTGAAAAAGAAGGAACGTAAATATTTTCTTTTACATTCAGCAAATTATACAAAAGGAAAACTAAGTACATAAATACACCATATTATTTACACAGCAATAATGACTTTAATCAAATGTATGTTAACCCGTAAACGGTCCAAACATATATATACGTTTTTTCAAAATTTGAAAGTATGTAAAAAAAGTGTTTTTTTTTTTTTACATTTGAAAGCGTGTAAAAAAAACTTTGATCTACGTTTTTTTTTTTTATATTTGAAAATATTTAAAAAACGTAGATCTACTTTTTGGAACACTACGCATGTGAATGTAGATCTGCTTGGACCGTTTACGGGTTAATTGTATACTATGGTATGTGAAGGCAAGCCCTCACTGTTTTCTTTAGCCCTTAAATGGAGATGCCTAGATGCCAGTGAGAGGCTCTTGATCCAAAGACCTGGATCTATCCTCCCCTTCTAGGATCAAACCTGAATGCCTCCCACTTTCCAGCAGCCATAAGAGTCGCAAAATGAAAAGTCATCTTTAATTATGAAATTCACCATAAAATGGACATAGACCAATCAGTGACTATAATTTTTACAGAAATTAAACCTTTAATTTGTAGTGAACCTGTATACAATTCCTAAACACAAATCAAAATGTAAACACATCTGCAGGGATATGTTCCAAGTACCTGCCAAGGATACCAAAGCAGTGGATAGTAGCAAACCCTATATATAAGTCCTATACATGCTTATTATAAAGTTTAATTGATAAATTATTCACAATAAGTGGGGAATTATCACTTTTTAACTGATGGGAAACATTTCATGGCTTCTCTTAGACTTTGAAGAACAACCGGCTTCTCTACTTTTGTTCTTTGGGATCATTAGTATGCAAAATTAAGAGGTATTCTTGGGCCACAGTAAACCATGGATAACTGAAACTGCAGGTTCCAAATCAGTGGGTTCTACTGTAAATGAACAAAGACTAAAAAATTTAATTTTAATTAAAGACATTTAATTCATCTACCAGTGGTAACAAAGATTTTTTATTCTGAACATTAAGGGTATACCTGGAGTATACCTGGAGTGAGTTCCATGGGTCAACGCCCCCCACGGCCTTTTCTGTGACCAGGCCTCATGGTGGATCAGGACCTGATCAACCAGGCTGTTACTGCTAGCCGCACATAATCCAACGTGCGAACCACAGCCCGGCTGGTCAGGTACTGACTTTAGGTGCCTGTCGATTGAAAAAGCGTTCCTCATGATTGTCATCCATTAACCCGTAAACGGTCCAAGCACATCTACGTTCACATGTGTAGTGCTACAAAAGTAGATCTACGTTTTTTTACATATTTTCAAATGTAAAAAAAAAAATAAAAAGATCTACTTTTTTTTACATACAGTGGTCCCTCGCTTTTCGTAGTTCTCGGCAATCGTAAATTTTGCCAATCATAGGGTATTTTCGTATAACAAGGACTCGCTTTTCAAAGGTTGACTCGTAACTAGTAGTTCGTCCGGGACGCGTATGCACGGTGTGAGCCGGGGAGGCCTCCCTACCCAGCCAGTCTGGCATTGTTTACCAGTGAGTGAAGGTCCCCTCAAGTGCTCCTACGAAATATTTCATAATATTCCACTCATTTTAGTGCTTGCAAGTACTAAATAAGCTACCATGGCTCCAAAGAAAGCTCCTAGTGCCAAGCCTGTGGTAAAGAAGGTGAGAAATATGTACAGTGACAGTCTTGGGCCATTTTAGGGAAGTGTTAAAGAGACGCCAGAAACAGAGCTCTCTCCACAGTTACTTTGCGAGACAGGACTAGTGACTCTCAAGGTGGTCCTAGTGGCATTAAGAAACAGAGAAGAGAAGCAACCCCAGAGAAGCAATTGGTACCTGAGGTGTTGATGGAAGGGGATTCCCCTTCCAAACAGTAAACAATCCAATCTCTCTCCTCCTCCAGTCTCTCATACACTAAGAAGAATCACCAATAAAGGTAAGTGTTATGCTGTTAATGTTTCAATCATCATGTCCCATTGTATTGTTTATGTACTACATCTATATTTCATGTAAAAAAATTTTTTGTTTTAATACTTCTGGGTGTCAGGAACGGATTAATTGTATTTACATTATTTCTTATGGGGAAAATTGATTCGCAAATCGTAAATTTCGTTTATAGTAACAGCTCCAGGAACGGATTAATTACGAAAAACGAGGGACCACTGTACTTTCAAATGTTGAAAAAACGTAAATATACGTTTGGACCGTTTACGGGTTAAATCTGTGGTTTTCTAAACCAATCTTTACTAAATAAGTTCTCAATGCATGCATACAATGATCATACACCAGTATGAATTAATGCATTTATGTAGTTGATTCCCCTTCTAAACACTGATACCATCCACACTCTTCCCTCCTCCCATCCCATCAATCATCACCAGATCTTCAATAAAGGTAAGTGTCATGTAATTGAACATGTTTTCTTCAGTTTGTTATATTAAAATTAATATTTCATGTGGTAAATTTTTTTTTTTTTTTCAATACTTCGGGGTGTCAGGAACGGATTAATTTGATTTCCATGATTTCTTATGGGGAAAATTAACTCGACTAACGATAATTTCGACTAACGATGAGCTCTCAGGAACGGATTAATATCGTTGGTCGAGGGTCCACTGTATATATGGGATATGAAATAACTTTTAGAAACACTTGAAATTTTGGTGTTTCCAGACATAATGGAGAGACTTAGTGCTTATGGGTCTCACGGAGAATGTAAACAAGCTGGGTGGGGCGCGGTGACCGTATTAGAAAGTCAGGTGGGGGGATTCGTATAGCGAGTTTTGGTCATAATTTGAAATGGCCGTATTGGCGGAACGTCATAAAGCGAAACGCTGTAGGGCGGGGCCCTACTGTACTATTATTATTAATAACAATTTCAGTATTGACCTAGGCACACTGGAGGGAAGAAATCACACGGATATACGAGACACCAACACGTTATCCTATGGATCTGTAAATGAAGTTAAGTAGCCAGTTTCGGACATCCTTCAGATATCTGAAATAATAGACGATGTTGGGGTGTGGAACGAGTTGATTTGTAGATAGTGGGTGGGTGAGGGAGAGTGTGATTGTGGGTGGAGGAGGCAACAGAAATGGATTGAGCAGTATGGACCATCTATCATTACAAGGAGGCGGAAAGCGAGGATGTGTGAAACTTGGTGTGCTGGATGAAGCATGTTCAGATTATTCGAGAAAACGAGCGTTGCCAAATAAGCAAGATCTGCAAGCTAGACTGCACACTTCTGGTCACCGTATTACAGAATGAATATAAATGTACAGGAAAACGTACAGAGGAGGATGACGAAGATGATCCCATGTATCAGGAATCTTCCCTATGAGGATAGACTGAGGGCTCTGAATCTGCACTCTCTCAAAAGGCGTAGAATTAGGGGGGGATATGATTGAGGTGTATAAATGGAAAACAGGAATAAATAAAGGGGATGTAAATAGCGTGCTGAAAATTTCCCGCCAAGACAGGACTCACAGCAATGGTTTCAAGTTGGAAAAATTCAGATTCAGGAAGGATATAGGAAAGCACTGGTTTGGTAATAGAGTTGTGGATGAGTGGAACAAACTCCCGAGTACAGTTATTCAGGCTAAAACGTTGTGTAGTTTTAAAAATAGGTTAGATAAATACATGAGTGGGTGTGGGTGGGTGTGAGTTGGACCTGACTAGCTTGTGCTACTAGGTCTGATGCCGTGCTCCTTCCTTAAGTGGAAGTGACCTGATCAGGTGGGTCATTGGGCTTATCTGGGGGGGGGGGGGGAGGGGTCATATGGACCTGCTTCGCGTGGGTCAGTGGGCCTGCTGCGGTGTTCCTTCTTTCTTGTGTTCTTATGTTCTTATGACTGGGTGTGGGTGGGTATGAAATGGACCTGAGTAGCTACTAGGTCGCACGCAGTGCTAATCCCTTAAGTGACGCGTCTGACCTCACTAAGTCAAGGCACTGGCTTAAGCCGGTGGGGAGAATTGGAGCTGCCTCGCATAGACCAGTAGACCTGTTGCAGTGTTCCTTATTTCTTATGATCTCATGTTCTTATGAGGGCAAATATTCTATTAGTGGGATGGATCTGTGAAGGACCTGCCTAGTATGGGCCAACAGGCCTGCTGCAGTGTTCCACCTTTCTTATGTTCTTCTTATGTTCTTAGTTGTAAAGTAAAAGGACACAAGTGCAACTAATGTAACATTTTATTGTGGCAACGTTTTGCTCTCCAGGAACTTTGTCAAGTAGTTACAAAGTTTGACAAAGCTCCTGGAGAGCGAAACGTTGCCACAATAAAATGTCACATTAGTTGCACTTGTGTCCTTTTACTTTACATATTGTCGGTAATTCTACCAACATTATTACAATGCATTTAGTTAAAAAATGGAGGAAAAATTAATTTGTAAAAATATTTAATATGTAGTTCTTGACTGTTATGACCAAGGTCATAATGGGATTAATTTGTGTTATCCACTTAATATTATACTCGGGGTTTCTTTAATATTAGCTAAATTAAAGATTCCACTAGTTTATATTATCTGATTTAGGAATATACCCGGGTATGATGTATATATATATATATATATATTTTTTTTTTTTTTTTTTTTTTTCAACAAGTCGGCCGTCTCCCACCGAGGCAAGGTGACCCAAAAAAAGAAAGAAAATCCCCAAAAAGAAAATACTTTCATCATCATTCAACACTTTCACCACACTCGCATATTATCACTGTTTTTGCAGAGGTGCTCAGAATACAACAGTCTAGAAGCATAAACATATAAAGATACACAACATATCCCTCCAAACTGCCAATATCCCAAACCCTCCTTTAAAGTGCAGGCATTGTACTTCCCATTTCCAGGACTCAAGTCCGACTATATGAAAATAACCGGTTTCCCTGAATCCCTTCACTAAATATTACCCTGCTCACACTCCAACAGATCGTCAGGTCCAAGTACCATTCGTCTCCATTCACTCCTATCTAACACGCTCACACACGCTTGCTGGAAGTCCAAGCCCCTTACCACAAAACCTCCTTTACCCCCTCTCTCCAACCCTTTCGAGGACGACCCCTACCCCGCCTTCCTTCCCCTATAGATTTATATGCTTTCCATGTCATTCTACTGTGATCCATTCTCTCTAAATGACCAAACCACCTCAACAACCCCTCTTCTGCCCTCTGACTAATACTTTTATTAACTCCACACCTTCTCCTAATTTCCACACTCCGAATTTTCTGCATAATATTTACACCACACATTGCCCTTAAACAGGACATCTCCGCTGCCTCCAACCGTCTCCTCGCTGCTGCATTTACCACCCAAGCTTCACACCCATATAAGAGTGTTGGTACTACTATACTTTCATACATTCCCTTCTTTGCCTCCATAGATAACGTTTTTTGACTCCACATATACCTCAACGCACCACTCACCTTTTTTCCCTCATCAATTCTATGATTAACCTCATCCTTCATAAATCCATCCGCCGACACGTCAACTCCCAAGTACAGTGGACCCCCGCATAACGATGGCATCACATAGCGATTATTTCGCAAACCACTTACTTTAATTGCAAAAATTTTGCCTCGCATACCGCTTAAAAACCCGCTTACCGATTTTCGTCCGAGACGCGTCCAATGTGCGGCCTGAGCCACGCTCACATGTTCCGCCGGTGGCATTGTTTACCAGCCAGCCTCCGCGGTAACATCCAAGCATACAATCGGAATATTTCGTATTATTACAGTGTTTTCGGTGCTTTTTCTGGAAAATAAGTGACCATGGGCCCCAAGAAAGCTTCTAGTGCCAACCCTACAGCAATAAGGGTGAGAATTACAATAGAGATGAAGAAAAAGATCACTGATAAGTATGAAAGTGGAGTGCATGTCTCCGAGCTGGCCAGGTTGTATAATAAACCCCAATCAACCATCGCTACTATTGGTGGTACAGCTGCTACTGCTGCTGCACTGTCAGCTGCTGCTGCTGCTGTAGCACCGTTGTTGGTGTGGCTTATTGAGAATACCAAGAAACAATTAACCCCAGAGGATTTGCCACCCAGGATAACCCAAAAAAGTCAGTGTCATCGAAGACTGTCTAACTTATTTCCATTGGGGTCCTTAATCTTGTCTCCCAGGATGCAACCCACACAAGTTGACTAACACCCAGGTGAACAGGGAAAAATGCCTGGAACTAGTGCTCATATTGGTGAATTTAAAGCCAGCAAAGGTTGGTTTGAGAGATTTAAGAATCGTAGTGGCATACACAGTGTGATAAGGCCTGTTCTGGAAGAAAATGCCAAACAGGACCTACAGTACTCAGGAGGAAAAGGCACTCCCAGGACACAGTGTCTCATCAGTCATTGCTGCATCTTCAATAAAGGTAAGTGTCATTTATTCTTCATTTAGTAGACTAGTACATGCACAATATATACTGTGCATGTACTACTCTACTATTGTGCATGTATCCTTCTCTTTGTGTGTGGGAAAATGTATATTTCATGTGGTAAAATTTTTTTTTTCATACTTTTGAGTGTCTTGCACGGATTAATTTGATTTCCATTATTTCTTATGGGGAAAATTCATTCACATAGCGATTATTTCGCATAACAATTACCCCTCTTGCACGGATTAAAATCGTTAACCGGGGGTCCACTGTATCTGAAAACATTCACTTCTTCCATACTCCTCCTCCCCAATTTGATATCCAATTTTTCTTTATCTAAATCATTTGACACCCTCATCACCTTACTCTTTTCTATGTTCACTTTCAACTTTCTACCTTTACACACATTCCCAAACTCATCCACTAACCTTTGCAATTTTTCTTTAGAATCTCCCATAAGCACAGTATCATCAGCAAAAAGTAACTGTGTCAATTCCCATTTTGAATTTGATTCCCCATAATTTAATCCCACCCCTCTCCCAAACACCCTAGCATTTACTTCCTTTACAACCCCATCTATAAATATATTATACAACCATGGTGACATTACACATCCCTGTCTAAGACCTACTTTTACCGGGAAGTAGTCTCCCTCTCTTCTACACACCCTAACCTGAGCCTCACTATCCTCATAAAAACTCTTTACAGCATTTAATAACTTACCACCTATTCCATATACTTGCAACATCTGCCACATTGCTCCTCTATCCACTGTGGCAGAGTATGCATATATGTTAAAAAAACTAACCAAGAACAAAACAATTTTTTTTAGTTTAGCAACTGAAAATGGACCAATCAGCCAGAGCTGGATTAAGATTTTGTAGGCTCCTGGGCTACAGGTGCTGTGAGGCTCCTGGGCTACAGGTGCTGTGAGGCCCCTGGGCTACAGGTGCTGTGAGGCCCCTGGGCTACAGGTGCTGCGAGGCCCCTGGGCTACAGGTGCTGCGAGGCCCCTGGGCTACAGGTGCTGCGAGGCCCCTGGGCTACAGGTGCTGCGAGGCCCCTGGGCTACAGGTGCTGCGAGGCCCCTGGGCTACAGGTGCTGCGAGGCCCCTGGGCTACAGGTGCTGCGAGGCCCCTGGGCTACAGGTGCTGCGAGGCCCCTGGGCTACAGGTGCTGCGAGGCCCCTGGGCTACAGGTGCTGCGAGGCCCCTGGGCTACAGGTGCTGCGAGGCCCCTGGGCTACAGGTGCTGCGAGGCCCCTGGGCTACAGGTGCTGCGAGGCCCCTGGGCTACAGGTGCTGCGAGGCCCCTGGGCTACAGGTGCTGCGAGGCCCCTGGGCTACAGGTGCTGCGAGGCCCCTGGGCTACAGGTGCTGCGAGGCCCCTGGGCTACAGGTGCTGCGAGGCCCCTGGGCTACAGGTGCTGCGAGGCCCCTGGGCTACAGGTGCTGCGAGGCCCCTGGGCTACAGGTGCTGCGAGGCCCCTGGGCTACAGGTGCTGCGAGGCCCCTGGGCAACAGGTGCTGCGAGGCCCCTGGGCTACAGGTGCTGCGAGGCCCCTGGGCTACAGGTGCTGCGAGGCCCCTGGGCTACAGGTGCTGCGAGGCCCCTGGGCTACAGGTGCTGCGAGGCCCCTGGGCTACAGGTGCTGCGAGGCCCCTGGGCTACAGGTGCTGTGAGGCCCCTGGGCTATGGGCACTGGGAGCCCCTAAATCCCATGCCTTAATCCAGCCCTGTGATCAACATACTAACAGCATGAAATTAGGAAATAGAACAAAATTTAAATCTCACTGTATTGGTCGTGCAGTGCTTAGACGCATAAAAAAAATTGTCTACTACATACTCTACCTTTATTAGCACTAAAAAGCAATCAGTTTTATTTGCCTCGGTTGCAGAATGTTGAATGAACATATATTTTAAAGAATAATGGTACCAGTCCTTCAGGCACCAAAATTGTGCCTACTCAGGGTGCCAAATTTTCTGTCTATCTCTGATTTTAATAAGCAAGTGTTCGTGTGTACACCTGACTACAATGTTTTCTTCTCTTATTATACAGGTTCTCCTTGACTTAGGATGGTTCGACTTATGATGATTTGACTTTACTATGGTCCATGGAGATGAAACTTAAGATAATTACCCAGCATTAAGGCAGCAAGTCCGTAACTCGCATTCATTTATTTACTTTTCAGCACAGCCTCTCCTCACTTAAGGACGGAGTTCCGTTCCTGAGACCTCGTGAGGAGCATATTATAATGGTAGTGGGTTTGTCAACTATCTTTGCACCATTGATAACATTTCTGGTATATTTTTAAATGTTTATACAGTAGTGTACTGTTAATTTGTAATAAACACAACAGAAGAAATCAGCTCTAACATACATTATTTAGGTATGCATACTGGTCAGAGAACTGTCCAAGTCAGAGTCTTTGGGGTAAACGAGTACGTCAGTAAGTGGGGGAGAGGCTGTATTTGTTATAGTACAGTAATTGTTCATTATTATTCAGTGACGGGTGTTAGTATTTATTTATCATGTCATATATTCATATTCGACTTACAATTTTTTGACTTGCAATGGGTTTTACTTGACAAAGAGTGTTGAGAATCAATTTTTCCAGTTGCTGCTTTTGCCTGTAACTTGTAAAGTAAAAGGAAACAAGTGCAACTAATGTGACATTTTATTGCGCAACGTTTCGCTCTCCAGGAGCTTATCAAGCTGTTGTGTCCTTGGTTGGTGTTCCCATACCTTTTAAATTTTAAAATATGAAATCTAAAAACAAATTCTATATTTAGAGATGTATAGTATAACAGTAGAATTATATTCAATTCTTACCTTTATTGGCTGACTTTTCTTAACATTCGTGAGAATTTAAAAAAAACCAGGTTTGTGTTTTAATTCGTTCCAACCCATAGACATTTTTTTTAATTTCTTCTTATAAACTCACATTCTGCCTCAGGAAAGGGAGAGAGAGTGGGTAATTTTCACTTTTCCAACATCACCATCAGTTGTCATCACTACTGCTGCACTGTAAGCCAGTCCAAACAGTGATGGTGGGAGCAGTGTCCTGCAGAAATGTATCAAATTCCACTTTTACTGGACTGGAAAGTTCTGCTTTAACTGGACTGGAAAGTTCCTCTTCAACTGGATTGGAAAGTTCCTCATCACATGATAACTGCTCAACTATCATCACTTCACCTGCAATATAATATTATATTAATAATGGATATGTTTTCTTCAAAGAACTTTAGTATAATATTTTTTAAACTGACTGACTACGCCAGTTGACTGAAAGAAACCATTTACCCTCACCCACTCTCTCTCTACCTACCTTTAACCCCTGAACTTCCAGTGTATCTATTTCTCAGCTTTGAAACACAAAAACATTACCTTCATACATATACAGGGGAAACCCCGACATTCGATATTAATCCGTTCCTGAGAGCTCATCAAATGTTGAAAATATCGAAAGTCAATTAATTTTCCCCATAAGAAATAATGGAAATCAAATTAATCCGTGCAAGACACCCAAAAGTATGAAAAAAAAATTTAAACCCCATGAAATATAAGTTTAAAGCAATAGAATAATTACAATAACAAAAACAATAGAATAATAACAATAGAATAATTGACACTTACCTTTAATGAAGATCTGGTGATGATTGATGGGATGGGAGGAGGGGAGAGTGTCAAAGTTTTTACTGTTTAGAAGGGGAATCCCTTTCCATTAGGGCTTGAGGTAGAAAATCCTTTTCCGGGTTACCTCCCTTCTTTTTAATGCCACTAGGACCAGCTTGAGGCACTGGACCTCTGTTTTCCGTTTCCTTTAAGATTTGTCTAAAATGGGCCATAACAATTTTCATTGTAATAGTCGCCAGCACGGCTTGCAAAAAAACTGGTAGGGTGATTTTCATCCATAAAGGTTTTTCAGGGTTCAACCCACTTTGCACACATTTCCTTAATTTTTGAAGTAGGCACAAGTTTTTCCACAACTGGCAAAGGCTTCTCAGGGTTAGCCCCAAATCCTTCAAAATCTTTCTTAATTCCCATACTAATTCTCACCCTTTTTACCACAGAGTTGGCACTAGAAGCTTTCTTGGGGCCCATGGTGACTTATTTTGCAGAAACAAGCACCAAAAACAGTGATAATATGGATAATATGGAATGTACCGAATGTATCCTTAGATGCGCACACACTGGCTGGCTTGTAAACACTGGCACACACGGGGCAGTTCAGGCCACACGTGGACACGTCTCGTACGAATCGTATCGAATAGCGGGTTTTCCATCGAATGTCGAGGCGAAATTTTTGCGTTAAAATGCATCGAATGTCAGATTTATCGAATGTCGATGCCATCAAATGTCGGGGGTCCACTGTATAAAATCTTTCACACTGATACAGCATGTCAAATCACAACTTTGTTATTTTACATGTTGTAATAGTCTACAGACTACTTTAAAACATTCCAGACTAATATGCTCACTGTCTGATGAAATCTAAAGGAAGAAGGTGCAGCAAGCTCCTCCTTGCATCTCTCCTTAGCGACCCAGGTTGTAGCTTCAATCTGTAATGCGTCCCTTCTAGGAGTGGATATTCTGGGTGTACTAGGTGAACACTGCACACCCACCAAAGATGGTAAATTCATCATAAATATTAAGCTCACTCAGTAATGTAATAATGGATCACAATACGAAACTAATTTTTCTGTCCCATGTTATGAAATACTGTGGCAGTTGTTCTAAGTAATACTTATGTCAGAGTAGTAGGCTCGTCACACTAGACAAATAACCCGCACACAGGAGACAGGAGCTTACAACGACGTTTTGGTTTAACTTGGACCATTTACAAAGTCACACACACATGGTCCAAATCGGGCCGAAACATCATCGTAAGCTCCTCTCTCCTGTTAACTGTATAGCCCTTGTGGCTTAGCGCTTCTTTTTGATTATAATAATAATAATCCTCCTATGTGCAGGTTATTTATGTATTGTTGCAGTCATGGTATTGTGCCTTTTTGTTCTTCAGCACAGTAGCACAGTGCACCACCCTGTGACAATAACCACAATATGCCACTGGTCCCTTTTCATGTGAGCATCTGGGATAATGAGGTTGCAGACCAAACTCCCTCTCTTCCTTCCCTCCTGGCCATCATTCCTCTTGACCTGTATGGAGGGGGATTCATTGTTAATAGCAAGGTAGCCTAGGCATCTATCTTCACTCCTCAACATTGAGCTCTAATCAGTCCTTTAAGGGGGAGTGGGGTCTGTCCTTGAGTGTAGCACCCCTCCTGACATGTATTCATGTGGGAGTCACCCCTGACTTGGGTGTGGCTTCCCTCCTGGACGCTAGTGGTGATCCTGACACACATTCGTGTAGGGGTTAACCTCTGATTTGGGTGTAGCACTCCTCCTGGACACTAGTGGTGATCCTGATGCATATTCATGTAGGGGTCACCCCTGACTTGGGTGTAGCACCCCTCCTGGACACTAGTGGTGGCCCTGACACATTTGTGTGGTTCATTAGACTTGGGACCCACCTCCACTCATTCCCAGATGGTTAACTCCCCTGCCTGTACATGGTATCAACCAACTGGATATGCTGGAACATTTTTCTTTCCTGCCCTCAGTTCCATTCTGCTTGCATTCATCACAGAGAATCCTTTCACCAATTGGGTACTAGTCTCCTGTCACTACCTCTTCTCCTGGATGGGGATGACTATGATCTCCCAGTCCATCATAAGATTCTATGCCTCATCTATGCCTTTCTCAATGCTCCAGGTTGAGTAAGTGAGCTTTAGTGATGCCTTCCACTCCTTGCCTGCAACATCTCTGACCAGGGGTCCTTATGGACTCCTATTCCACCTCCTATAGGGGCTACTATGCCCCATACTGTCTCCCATGAACTTCCTAGTGCCCCAAGAACCAGAAGAGCTCAATATGGCTTGCAACCCTTTTGGATTTAATGCTTACCTTGATGATAATAATAATAATAACTCTTAACAACCCCAACAATAACAGTTTACTGCAGTGACTGTACCCATCCCTGTGATGATCCAGCAGTCAGTAATATTTTTCTCTGGCCATGAACAGATGCTTCACAATCCAAGTACACGCAGCTTTACAGCATTTGGCTAATACAGCGGTTTTCACTTATACTTATTCTTCATTTATTCAGGCTTCCTGCAATAAATACATTCATCACTCATTAAGCTAAGGGCAAAAAAATTTTAGGGTAAGTAATGTATCTACTGTATATGCATTGTTTAGGCCTAGCTATATTGCTTACTTAATATATATTAGTGTAAATATGATATCAAGCATTTATATGCATTTAAAAGTGGAAAAGGTATGATTAGCTTTACAGTGATTTTTGTTTTACAGCGGTAGCCCAGAACCTAACCTGCTGTATAAGTGGGGCTTTACAGTAGCCCAGAACCTAACCTGCTGTATAAGTGGGGCTTTACAGTAGCCCAGAACCTAACCTGCTGTATAAGTGGGGCTTTACAGTAGCCCAGAACCTAACCTGCTGTATAAGTGGGGCTTTACAGTAGCCCAGAACCTAACCTGCTGTATAAGCGGGGCTCCTGTAAATAACCTAAGACCTAACATTGCAATGTCCAGCAAATTTAGAAACACAAAAAATTGGCATATGGAGTATGTCAGCCTGGTCCCCTGATATACAAGTGCATCATACAGTGTTTAACCCTTTCAGAGTTTCGGGCGTACTAGTACGGCTTACGTGCCAGGGTCCTTGACGTACTAGTACTCATAAATTCAAGTGCCTTCAAATCTAGTGAGAGAAAGCTGGTAGGCCTACATATGAAAAAATGGGTCTATGTGGTCAATGTGCGGAGTATAAAAAAAATCCTGCAGCACACAGTGCGTAATATGAAAAAAAAAACTTTGACCGTGTTTTTGGATTAAAACAGCGACTTTGCACTGTATTTTCGTATGGTATTTATTGTTGTATTCTAGTTCTCCTGGTCTCATTTTATAGAATGGAAGACATATTACAGAAATTGAGATGATTTTGACTGGTTTTACAATGAAAAGTACCTTGAAATTGAGCTCAAAGCAGCAGAAATGATCGATTTTCACCAAAGTTCAAAAGTAAACAAATCATGCTAAGCGTCCAATACACGTCAACTGGTGAGTCTAATATTCTTTCACAAGTGCACCAATATTATTTATACCATTTCTACACTACTGCAGTAGTCTGCATAACAGTAAATCTTCTATTTTTTGTGAGAATAAAAATTCAAAATGGAAAGCAAAAGAACGTAAGAGGGGCGTGGGGACGTGACTAATGAACAGAGAAAATGTTATTTTAGTGCCAGGAATGTCTTTATTTATTCTGGACCCTATTTGGAAATTGGCATATTTTGAAATTTGTGAAATTGGCAAAATTGCTAAATTCTGACCACTGTATTGGATAGTTGAAATCAGTAAATGGGTGGTTTCTTGTACTCATTCGATAGAAAAAATGGAATTCTAGCAAAATAGTTATGATTTTTGTTGACTAGTACACTGGAAAATAGGGCTCAAAGTGGGCAAAATCGCCGATGCGTAGACATCGTCGAGACCGCTAACTTCGCGAGAGCATAATTCCGTAAGTTTTCCATCAAATTTCATACTTTTGGTGTCATTATGATCGGGAAATGATTCTCTATCTTTTCATAAGAAAAAATATTTTTTTTATTTTTTAAATTTGGGGGACCCTGAGAACAAGTCTCTGAGAGGGCCTGTGGACCCTGAAAGGGTTAAGTGTTACAACTCTAAGTCTGATGTAAAATTGTGAGTGAAGATAAACATGAAACAAGACTGAATGAGACAACCAAAAAATATGTTGAGAGGCCATATGCTGCTATCGTCCTTCCAAATTTATATTCCAAATTAATGCAGAATTCTAACACTGTCCTGTTTTATATCCAATTCAACTACTTTATTGTATAATGAGTGAGAACATGTGTGTAAAGCAACTGAAAACAAGAGAGAAGTGGGCGTTGGCAACACACTGCCTCACACACTGAGTGTCCATGATTCAATCTCTTGAGAGCATAACGGAGCAAAAGGCCCCAGTAAAAAGCAGGGGAAGCAATGAGTACACTAAGAGAACTTGATAAGAGTAAGGTGACCAAGACTTTTCAACACCCTTTCAAACATAAGGGAAATTCCCATTAGACTCCTAGCTGTCCACAAGAGGGAATGTGCAACTCTTGGGTATCTTTATTGAGGAAACATTTCGCCACACAGTGGCTTCATCAGTCCATACGAAGGATAAACTTGAAGAACAGGAGGAGAATGAGGTAATCAGTCCCTCAGCCTAGAGTCGATGTGGTCAGTCCATCAATCTTGATGGACTGACCACATCGACTCAAGGCTGAGGGACTGATTATCTCATTCTCCTCCTGTTCTTCAAGTTTATCCTTCGTATGGACTGATGAAGCCACTGTGTGGCGAAACGTTTCCTCAATAAAGATACCCAAGAGTTGCACATGTGTCTAATTTGACAACAAGAGGGAATGTTGAAAGTTCCTTAACCATGTTCTCAAGCATTCGAGCTGTTGCAAGTATACAGTGGACTGTGTGTAGCCAGCACCAATAAACTGATTGATCAGATTACCAACTAGAAGGCCTAGTCTGTGATTGGGCCATGGGTGCAATGACCCTGAAAAAAAACACAGTAGAGGCATTAAGAACATAACGTAAGAAAGAAGGAACACTGCAGCAGACCTACTGGCCTATATGAGGCACATGCAATTCTCCCACCAGCTTAGGCTAGAAGATTCATGTAGTCTCTAAGAACCAATTCCATGCAAATTCTGGTATTCTACTGTACTGATTTTTATATAAACCATCATTATGCATTGCCTTAGAAACTCTACTTAAAAATCCATGGTTTTTTTTTTTTTTCAACACACAGGCTGTATCCCACCATGACTTAAAAAAAAAAAAAATTCTTTTTAAATTTAGTAATTTATACAGAAGGGGTTACTTGCCGCTGCTCCCAGCGCATGACTTATGGAGGAAGAATTCTTTTCCACTTCACCATAGAGAAAAAAATCTGTCTACTTCTTAAGAGTCTTTAAGCATTAGGATTAGTGTGCCCGAAATTCACCAGTACACAGATAATACAAACTACATTATCTGTGTACTGCACTGCATGAAAGAAATGAAGAATTTGAATTTGAATTTAAATCATCTTTAATTCCTAATGATAGGAGTGATACAACTTTAAACAGTAAGAAAAGGCACATAGCCCGGAAAAAAATTCATGGATTTCTTACCACTTTTTGGTGACCTTCCTTTATTATCTTCATGAGAATTAGTTAACACAATTTGACGTTCCAAATTATACAAGCTCGTATCTACATTTTCTATAATTTCTTGTTCGTCGTAGAATTCTTCTTTCCAAATATCACATTGTACCCCAGGAGAGTGAGAAAGATGAGAATAATTATCATCTTCCTTCCTTATATCCAGGTTTTCAATATCATCATCGCAATCAGTGTTGCTATATATAGCACTGTAAGCCAGTCCAAACATTGATGTTGGAAGTAGAGTCAGTTGCAGCTGCGTCTTCAACTGGACCAATAATAGCAGTGCCACCTTCAAAATCACACGGCAACTGTTCTTCTTTTTCTTCGCCTGCAATATAAAACTATATTAATAATATACACCTACCATCCGACTTACGACCAAGTTCGGTTCCGAGAAACGGGTCGTAAGTCAAAATGGTCATAAGTCGAACTTTACTACTGAATATCAACAAAACATTTTTGTAATGGCTTTATTTTATTGTTTTATTTTGGTATTTCATGTTTTACTTTACTTTTTATGTTGTTAGTACTGTATAATATACTGTAAGGTTTAAGATAAACACTGTGTACAACACAAATAGTTGTTTATTTCCCAGAAATTTGGCATAAAAACACGGTCGTAAGTCGAGTGGTCGTAAGTCGGATGGTAGGTGTACAAGGCTTCTTCACAACTTTGCCTTATTTTCTGGCATATGGCAGTGCTTTTTTTTTCCCACAGAAAGTCTTGGAAAATTATCCTGCACCTCATATGCTGAAGGTCAGGGTGAAGGGTAAGCTCTGTGTTACGCTTTAGCAGTTGTTTACTAACGTTACATTACAACTGCTCAGAAACGTCATCTTGTATGCTTGTGTGCCTTTTATGCCAGAAAATACAACACAGGCGGGCCCTGCTTTACAACACTTCACCCATTTTCAATTATAGCCATTCTTCATTTATTCAGACTTCCTACAATAAATATATTCACCACTCACTATAAGCTAGGTATAAAAATATTTTAAGGTAAGTAATGTGTGTACTGTATATGCATTTTTAAGGGGTGGCTCAATTGCTCATTTAACCCGTAAACTGTCCAAGCAGATCTACGTTCACATGTGTAGTGCTACAAAAGTAGATCTACGTTTTTTTTTACATTTTCAAATATAACAAAAAAAAAAAAGTAGATCAAAGTTTTTTTACACATTTTCAAATGTAAAAAAACAAAAAGAAGATCTTTTTACATACTTTCAAATATTGAAAAAAACGTATACAGTGGACCCCTGGTTTACGATATTATTTCATTCCAGAAGTATGTTCAGGTGCCAGTACTGACCGAATTTGTTCCCATAAGGAATATTGTGAATTAGATTAGTCCATTTCAGACCCCCAAACATACACGTACAAACGCACTTACATAAATACACTTACATATTTGGTCGCATTGGGAGCTGATCGTAAACCGGGGGTCCACTGTATATATGTTTGGACCGCTTACGGGTTAATATATGATAGTGTAAACATGTTATCAGACATATGCATTGGAAAGTGAAAAAAGGTTTTCACTTTGCAATACCTTAGAAATCTGTTAAGGGTTTATAAAAATAACTAACCCCCCTAAAATGCGGGGGTAGAGAAATTTTTTGCTGTAACAATGCTGCCTTTGAATTGTTGCAAAATGTATTATGTATGTATGTATCTCCATGGGGAAGGGGAACAGAATTTTTCCCTCCAAAAGCCAGTGTGTCTAAGAGGCGACTAAAATGCCGAGGAAAGGGGGGTGTAACCCTTCTTTTGTATATATTACTAAATGAAAAGGAAAATTTTGTTTTTCCTTTTTGGGGCCACCCCGCCTCGGGGGTGGGCAGGTGTGTTGAAAGAAAGAAAAAAGTATGTATATGTACACGTTGTGTGGTGGTGTGTGTATGTTGTGTATGTGTATGGTGTGTGTGTGTTGTGGTATGTACTATAGGTACTACCTATTTTGGGTTGCGGGGGTCGAGCCGAGCCCCGGGGGCCCCGCTCTTCATGATCGCTACTAGGTCATTTCCCCCCGAGCCGTGAGCTTTATCCCCTCTGCTTAAAGCTATGATGGACCCTGCCTCCACACATCCTTCCCAAACTTTCCCACTTACTGACTACTCTGTGGCTGAAAAAATACTTCCTAAAAATCCCTGTGATTCTCGTGTCTTTAGTTTCCCAACTGTGCCCCTTTGTTATTGCCCAATCTCTGGAACTCCTGTCTTTTCCACCTTTAAATTTCCCCCTCATTTTTTTTGTATGTCGTTTTTTGTCCCCCCCATCCTCCTGCCCTCCAGTGTCGTCAGGTTGATTTCCAAAAACCTTCCCCTAGGAATCCCTTTTAGCTTGGGAAGTCTTGTTGCAAACCTTTGCATTTTTCTCTAGTTTCTTTCCGGTTTTGGGCTAGGTGTGGGTTCCAAACGGGTGCCGCATACTCCAATATGGGCCAAAAGTATACGGTGTACAGGGTCCTGAAGATTCCTTATTAAGATTCGGACTGCTGTTCGAATTGCTAGGCGCCTTGCTGCGCGTTTTTTGGGTTGATGTGCCTTCAGGAATGTGCCGGGGTTTTATACTACCCCAAGTCTTTTCCTTGAGTGAGTTTTTAGTCTCTGCCCCCTAGACTGTACCCTCTGGGGCCCTTTCTTTCCCTTTTTCCCCCAAATTTTCATGACTTTCCCTTGGTGGATAAACTCCGGGACCCAAATGCTGGCCCAGGTTGCAGCCTGCCCAATCCCTTTGTATTTCTCCCGGGTCTTCGATCGAGTGTTTTTCTCATCAATTTCACGTCATCTGAAAAACAGGGACACCTCAGAGTCTATCCTTCCGTTCATGTCGTTAAACAAATCCCAGAAACAGCACGGGTCCTGGATGACCCCGCGGGCCCCCCGCGGTCCGGTGCCCCTCTGACACCCGCCAGTCCCATGACTGCTGCGTTTTCCCTGACAAGTATTCCCTGATCCTTGAAATCCCCTTCCCTGTTATCCCTGCTTGGTCCTCCGTTTTTGCACAATCCTTGTGGGGAACTGTGTCAAACGCCTTCTTGAGTCCAAAAAAATGCAATCCACCCCCCCCTCCTCTCTTGCTTACTGCGTCACCATGCGTAGAACTCCAGTGGGTTTTGTGACACGGGATTTCCCCCCCTGAAACCATGTGGCTGCTTTTTGATGAATCTTTCCTTTTCTGGGGTTTTCCCACCACTTTCTCCTGAAAATCTTCCCATGATTTTGCATACTAAAATGTCAGTGAAACTGGTCGATTTTAAATGCTCATGTCTGTCTCCTTTTTTAAAGTTTGGGGACTACATTTGCTGTTTTCCCATGCCTCGGCAATCTCCCGTTTGATAGATGTATTAAATTTGTTTTAGGGGTAACATAGTGCCTCTGCCCCCTCTCATCCAGGGGGAATGTTATCGGCCCCTTTGCTTTGAGGTTCTAGTCACTCAGAAAACCCTTCACTTCCCCTCGGTTGTGTGCACTGTGCCCGCACTTGGGGTGTGCCCCACCTCTCCTCTTTCTGGAGTCCCTTCTGTCTCCTCTGTGAACACTTCTTTGAATCTCTTGTTGAGTTTCACATCTTCCGGTCATTTCCTGTTGTCTCCCCTCCTTCCCTTCCCTTTTAGCTGATTACCGGGCCCTTGACTGTTTTTTCCCCCTTGTGGCTGTACAACATTTTGGGTAAATTTTGGGCTTTCGTGCTTTCTTTTCATTTGTCTTTGGGCCCCCTTCTTATCTGGCTATTGTTTCGGGCTTCGACTGTTCTCCTTATTCTCCGGGGTTTCCTTTGCCTTTATATTTCTTCCATTCCTTGCAACTTGGTTTTCGCCCCCCGCACCTTTTGGGAAACCCAGGGGTCACGGGTTTTTTTCATTACCCTTTCCCCCTTGGGTACAAACCCTCTCCTCAGCCTCCTTCTTTTTGTTGCTACATTTCCATCATCTCATTAACTGTTTCCCCTGCCGTTCTCTGCCCATGCCCCCCGTTCGGGTAGTTCCTATTCCGTGTATCCCCTTTTTGTATTTGGGCTTCATTCGTCCGGGCCTTTCTGCTTCTCCCCCATTGTAGCTCTACGTGTATTCAAAGTTAAAAACCCAATGGCACGGGCCCCCAAGGGGGTCTTTATATTGATGTCCTCGATTCTCACTACTGAAGGTGAATACAAATCCACCCTTTTGGGGTTTTCTTTCCTCTCCTCTCTCTCTTGTAGTTCCCTTACGTGTTGGTAATGAAGTTCTCCAGTACCACCCCCATCATCTTGCCCTCCATGTATTTTGGCCCCCATGGGGGGTCCAAGTCTCCCAATCGATCTCCTTGTGTTTAAAGTCCCCCATGATAGGAGCTTTGCCCTGCATGCTGACTCTTTTGGCCACTCTAGCAGGTGTCAACCACGCTTATTGTCTCGTCGTACCTTGCCTTGGCCCCGCGTTCTGTGGTGGGGGTTTCATACATGGGGTCCCAGGTTTCAACCTATACGATGTGAAGGTGAACGGCAAAAAAGGGGGGGTTGGGGGGCCTGTAATTGAGAGTATTGTTTTAAAAAATGTTTAATGTAAATGGAGTGGGTTTTTGGGGGAAAGGTTTGAGAACCCAAAAAACCCAGTCATTGTGGTAGTCTACAAACCTCCCGGATGCAACTTCCCCGCAATTCCAGGAACAGCTGTTAAAAATTGACCACGTCTGGAAAAACTTCCAAACTCTGCCCCCCAAATCTTTTCCTGGGGGATTTAACTTAAGGCACCTAAAATGGAGGAATATAGCAAATAATATTGTTGCAGTAATAACACCAGGAGGGAGCTTGATGAAAACTCACATCACCGAGCTTTTAAATCTCTGCAAAAAATTCAATTTAAACCGCAAATAAAAGGCCTATAGACGGAGAATACACTAGACCCCAATTCACAAAATGATGATTGATAAAAATTCACCATATCAAAAAAATATATCGATCACACATAATTGGGTTCGACATGAAAGCGTGGAGCCCCCCGACCCACAAAATGGACTAGTACGAGGGAGCATTCACCAAATTCAAATTCAATAACAAAAACATAAAGTGGGGCCAAGTAAAACCCAAATCCTAACCGATATAAGTGGGAAGATTCTAAGCAAACAGACCCCAAACTTATCCTAGAACAGATTAACTCGGTGGCCTCGATGTATGCACAAGGGTTATTCCTCTAAGAAAAAGGAGGAGAGATTAAAAAAAAAGAGACAGGCCTCCCCTTTTCAGGCACGGAAAAGAATAACAGAGCGGCTAAAAGAGGTCAATAAATTTTAAATCGCAGGGAGACACTGGTCAGAGAAATACAAAAAACGAAAATTTAAACTAAAAGAATCCCTTTTG